GAAGTGCTCAATCTTTTGATCTTGACTGTAATGCTGGAGATCCCACACGCCTCTTCCTCTGCCCGTTTGCAAAGCAAACAAGCCACCTGTGCAGTGGCTGTAATTAAGCCCATCATCGCTAATGACATGCTCTCTATCTCCCATCACCGAGCATTGCACAGCCCGTCCAAACAGGAAGCAGAAGCCCATCCCCACCCGTCCCTAGCACACCTGCTGGGCCAGGCCCCCCTGTGCACATTATCGCCGAGCCCACTGGGCTCTCTCTGGGCCCTCAGGAGGGAGCTGAGGGGGGACAGGAGAAGGGGACAAACTCCCAGCAGGCAGAGGCACTAGGGCCTGGATCACCATAGAGACGATGTGGGAATTGGGAGGAAAAAAACCTGAAAAGTAGAACATTAAGAAAGAAATACAAGAAATAAAAAGTGGCTGCTTTTGGAAAAGGATCCAGAAAAGGCTGGGGCTGTGGGGGAATAGGTCAGACCTGAGGGGAGGGGCTAAAAACAGAATGGAGGGAGGATGAACCCCGAGGCCAGAGGCCAGAGGGCGGAGGGGAGGGTTACCTGCTGGATATAGAGAACCCCCTCCCTGCTGTGGGGTGAGGGGCCTGAGCACCACCCTCCAGGATGCGAACCGGCCGTGGAATGAGGGGCTTGGTTATAGAGTGAGCTCCTCCATCTGGAGCTGAGACCACAGCCAAACCCCTTTGGAAAGTTCTGTCCACCCTCCCTGGCAGAGAAGGAGGCAGGAGACATTGGCACCAGGAGACCAAGTCCCCACCTCCCCAGTGTCATGGGTCCCCACTGAGGCAGATGGACTTTTATGGCTGGGCTACCAGGTGTGACTCGTAGCTGTGGATTCAGGGGGCGCAGACCCAAGAGTGGGGGAGAATGGCGCACCACGGGGAGCAAGCCGTCTGGAAGTCAGAGTGGTGACCACAGGGACAGGGCACATTGGCTCCCAGCTGAGAGAAGAGGAAGAGGGGCAGTGTGGAGCCAGGGTGGGGGCTGCATGTCACAAAAGGGGGTCAAGGAGAGGGCTTGGTGGAACCAGCAGCCATGGAGAGAAGCTTCTAGAAAAGGATGTGGGCTGGGAGGGCCCAGGAGGATGCTATGGGACTGGAATGCCGGCATACCTCAGGTGTGCGATGAGCTTCCTGTGCTCAGTCCCTGGACTGAGCTTTTTGCACGTTTTAACTCATTTCATCCTCACACCAACTCTGTGAGGTTAATACTCTTATTTTTCCCACTTTACAAATGAGGAAACAAAAGAGCAGAGAAACTGAGTTGCCCAAGTCACAGTTAAAAGTGGCAAAAGAAACAAACCAACGAAAGGATTCAGGTCCATGCCTGGCCCGCTGCAAAGTGTGAGTCCTTCCGCACTGGACCGCTTCCAAGGCCCCATCCAGCCCCAGTCCACCACAGGGTGGCTCAGGTCTCCAGCTGTGAGCAGCTTGAATCTAGCACTTGGTGCTATATCTGGAGTTCCACAAAGAAAGATCTGGAATGCCTGAGAGCTGGGGCTAAAAGGAGTAGCTCAGCCTTCTGGAGGTTGGTGGATTGGAAGCAAGAAGGAGGGATTTCCGTGATAAGCCTCTAAAGAGGAGGTCAGGGGAGGAGGGCTGGAGAAGGGGATGGCAGGAGGTTTGCAGGAGAAGAGGGCGCCTCAACGTCTCTGCTGGTCCTGGAAGCATTTGCCGAATGTGAATGTGAGGATGGAGGGACAGTGCCAAATGGGTGTCCTTCGTGCAGTTGTCACTCTGAAGGTGGCAGAAGTGGTGGAGGCTCTGGAAGGGAGATTGGAGGCAGCTGGCAAAGGGCAGCTCAAACCCAGGCCAGCTGCCAAATGGACCTACGAAGTCCTTAGGAAGCTCCCTATCTCCAGCAATGCATGTCCCTTTTACCTTCTCCTCCAGAAAGCCTTCCTGGGTTGCCTGGGTTCAGCTCTGATGCCTGTCTTCCTTCCTTCCCTGTGGCTGTGCCTTGCCAGTACCTCCATGCCTGCATCATCCACTGAGAGAGAAAGAAAGAATTCTTGGAGGACCCTCCCCACAGCCAGGGCAGGGGCTTGCACACGGGGCAGTGGGGCTTGGGGAAGGAGAATCTCGCTGAGTGATGGGGGCTTTCACGCCCAGGACCTCTGGATCAGTGACAGGATTCTCAGGCACGCATTGAGGAAGAGCCATCTGAGGCCCTGGGTTGTCTAACTGGAGGTGAGGAGGCTCAGGTGGCAGCAGCCCCTGCCTGGGAGGCAGGAGCCAGGGCCTGCAACACGGAGGCTGGCGCCAGCCTGGGCATGCCAGGGAGTGAAACGGCATGCCTCCCAGAAAGGAATATTAGGACACTGCAGCTGTGTGCGGGGGGGCGGGTGGGGGGAGTCTGTCTAGGAGCATCCCACACCCTCCCGCTGCAGGGAGGAGACTCCTCCACCACCGCAGGGTCAGAAGGTGCAGTACCTGGAGCTGATGGCAGAGGGCAGTATGTGCACAAAATAGAGGCACCAAGAAGTTTGGGGTGGTTTTTTGCCCTGCATGGAAATGAGCAATTGGTGACTAGATGTGAACGTGCTTTGGTGAATAGGCCCAGTGCCCCTCACTTAGTCCATGTCTGCCAGCGCTCTGCTGTTGATCCACACCCCTCGGATGGGAACCGGTGTGCAGCTGGCAAGCACAGAAATATTCAATGTTAAATAATGATTATAGCAGTGAACGTCTGTTCTGGGCTACACACTGTATTCCAGGCACTGTTTTACTTCCATTGTCTCTTTCCATATTCTCAGGTCCCCTTGGAGGTGGGCTCTTTGACAGGAAAGGAGCTGTCAAATCTGCGAGTATAGACTCCAGAATCAGACTTGGGTTCAACTCCCAACACTGCCATTTACTAAGCAGGTGACATTTGGTGAATTATTTAAACCATCCGAGCCTTAATATCCTCACAGGTGAAATGGAAATGATAATAATAGCACCTTATAACAATAATACATAGGTAGTAGGGAGAATTAATCGAGTTGCCAGACATGAAGTACTTAGAAGAGTTATAGAGAGCGCTCAGTAAAGCCTAGCTTGTCCTAAACCTACTTGATAAGGGTAGGATCTTGCAGAAGGTCACTACTGATCATGAGAAGAGCCAGAATTTGAAGCCAGGTATTTGACTATCTGGCCAGAATGTGAGAGCTGGGGTGACCACTTCCCTGACAGTCCTGGCTTTGCCAGTTGTCCAAGGGTCCAGTTTAGCATTTATTTCTCTCAAAAGTGTCCCCATTGGGTGATAAATTATATAAACTGCACACACATGAAGGCATATAAAACACAAATTAACATGATGTGTTTCATCATTTGTATGCCAGGTCATCAAGACGTGTGTATGTGTGTACTGTGTATGTGTGTTTGTGTGTACATGCATATCTGTGTATGTATATATGCATGTACATGTGTACATGTGTGTGCATGTGTGTATGTGTGTGCGTGTGTGCCTGCATACGTGTGTGTGCGTGTGTTGTGTACATGTGTACATCTACGTTGAGCTCTTTTCCCCAGCGAATGCTGCGACTGAGCCGTGCTCTCCTGCAGCAAATGCACACTGAGCGCTAACTGTGAGCCAGACCCTGGACCCGGGGGATGGAATGAAAGCATGTGGGGGACTGGGGTGAGGGGACAGACATGTGGGCAGCTGACATGACACCTGGAAAATGAAGCACCAACTGAACACAGGTTTGGGGATGGTGCTGTGGGTGTGCAGGTCACCAGTCCAGACCCTGCTGGTCACCAGTGCTGTGACCCTGGACAGATGGCTCAGCCATCCGGGCCCCCATTTGCTTGCCTATAGAATGGGGGTGTGGGGGGAGGTGCTGGGCAGGCAGCACTAATATTCCTTCTCATTTAGTGCTTGATGTCATGATGGTTCCAGCTGCAGGGACCAGACTCCACAGGAAGATGCGAGGTGGCACTTCAGCCAGGCCACAAAGAGCCAGTAGGCTTTCAATAAACAGGCAACGGACACCTGAGGTTGAGAAAATGATATTGCAAAGGCCCACGAGTGTGAAAAGTCTGGCGTGCTGGGGAGAAGCTGGAGTGTAAGGTAGCGAGTGGCGGGGGAGGAGAAGGGGTCACAGACTCTGCCGCCTCAGATGGGCTCATGCTTAACACATGGTCTTGCTCTTAAGGATTTTGCTCAAATCATCTGTGCTAACTGACTCTGAGAAACTAAGATGCTCACAGAAACACACACACACATGCCTAAACGAGCACCCGTGAATCCTTAGCTCTTACCTCGCTGAACTTTTCTTTGGAGCAGTTAACATACTCGACATCATATTGTATGTTGCTCTGTTAGGTGTGCATTTTTGCTCCCCCCTCTAGACTATAAGCTGTGCGAGGGCAGGGTCTGTGCCAGTTTTGTTTATCCCAGTATCCCCAGTGTCTGACCGATGCCTGGCTCACTAAATGTTTGTTAAATGAGCCACTACTTCATGTACACAATAGCTTCAGATGCACCCATGAGCACACATACACAGGCCTCATGTGCGAGGGTGGAAAAGAAATTGGTGAGAAGAGGAAACAGGGCCATCGTGGGGGAACAAGACTGGGTGGTAGGTGTCAGGAGAGGAAGGAGGTGAGGAAAGGAGGGGACAGCCACTCCAAGCTGGGCAGTGAGCGTGGAGACCGAGGGCTCCTCGAGAACCAGAGCAGGAAGCCATGCCGAAGCTCTGGCAGTCTGGGCGTGTCTCTCCATAACAGGGTAACGATGTCTCACAGGGCCACCGTGTGGGACAGGGGACACAGGGCACGTGACACACAGCCTGCTGGGTGGCAGCCTCAGTAATAAATCTCGGCCATTTACCAGGATCGGCTGTCACCCAGTGCCTGCCTGGCTAGAACCAGACAGCAAAGATGCACAAGAGGCCAGGGACCCAGCAGGAAGCCAGAGTCAGACCAAGGGAAGTCAAGGCAATGCAGACGTTGACATCTGGGCAACAGATTCCACACTGAGAACCAAATGGCATCGATTATTTATTGCAAGAGAAGCAGAGAACTGGACACAATCCCAATCAGAGGGCAAAGAGAGTCCCATCGTGGCGAAGGCCCAAGAAAGGCATGGGGGCAGAGGAGCTTGCAGCTGCCCACAAGGGACATCCTGGGGGGGGGTGACCTCTGCATCTGGGGCAGTGACCCAGTGAAAGGTGACCAAGAAGGGGGCCACTGAGAGAGCCCATGACTGGACTCCCCACATCAGAGCATCACCCCACAGAGGACGAGGAGATGGGATTGTGGTCGTGGACAAAGCACATCCTGACTTGGAAAGGGGCCCCGGGGAGGAGAGGGAGGAGGCGGGTGGGTTCTGAAGGCTCCTGCTCGCATCACCGACTGCCAGTCTGTCATCTGGGGGCCTTTTTGGTGGCGCAGCTGCTGCCTGAGGTTTTGGCAAGGGGATCCTTGAACTCGCTGCCACAGCTGCCTTTGGTCTTGACGTCCGCTGCAGCAGGTTTGTAGCTGTAGCCGCCCGCGGCGCCAAAGCCCATGCTGAAGCCTGCGCCTCCTGCCCCAGCGCCCGTGCTGCTGATGACGGCTGGAATGGGCGAGAGAAGCCCCAGCCCCTGTCAGAGCCCCTGCTGGGTCAGCCAGGCCACTCCCTCAGCTGTCTCCCCTGCGGTGGCTTCATGTTGAGACAGGCTCTTGCTGTTGTGCCTGTAGTCTACTGAGAGATGTTTATCAGCGCTAATGATATGTGGCTTCATCTTTCCTGCACTTAGCCCCATGCATTTGATCTCTCCCGATTAGTCTGTGTCAGTCTATTACATATACCAGACTTGAAGCTCTCAGCAGACAGGGCTGTATCAGAGAATTTCCCCATGGGCAGGACCAAATGAAGAGAGGCCCTTCTCAGAGGCCGGTGCTACTGCTCCAGAGGAAAGGGGCTGCAGGAACCCCGCTACCTCTCAGCAACGCTGCACCTCCCCGCATGCTCCCCAGCTTTTAAACCCGGGAGGAGGTGTGCTCAGCCGTCTTTTCCCACCATTGGGCCCTTTATGCGCCCCAATCCCTCTTACTCTGATCTAGGGGCTTTATTTTGGTCAGACCTCAATAGAAAAATAGTGTTACCATTAAGCATCCTTCCTATGCCAGACTGTTGTGTTATACACTGGTGGGGACCATTTGATCTTTCTGTAAGTTGTACTTTGGTATTTTGTGATATTGTTATTCTCCATCCACTGCTTCCCCATGGTTACCAAAGCCAGCTCCCTCTTTCTGCCCTTACGTCTCCCCTGAACCCTGTCTGTGATTTTGATTTCTGTTTTGTGTCACATGGAATTAGAGGAATGTAGACTTCAGTAAGGTCACCAAGGGCAGAACTGCTATCTGCAGGTACTTACAGATGCTCACAGAATTTGGATATTCACCAGACATCCTGGAGAGGGAAAAGAAAACAGGTAAATCCTCCATAAACAATCACGCCACCTGTCGAGGGAGTCACCTCTGTGAATAAGCCCCTCCTCTCAGAACGTGTCCCCAACCCTGTCCCAGCCTGCTTTCTTCCCGTACATGCCAGGGGGACCCGAGATGAAAAATCTGCCACAAGGAGTCAGCTCTCCAACAAAGAGGATTGGGGACTGTCTGTTATGAGGGATTATCATGCCTCCAACCCCTCTAGTTATGCCATTGGTGAAGAATGAGAAGAATGAGCTCACATCCTCACTGGGCTCCCAAGTTTGCTAGAGCGACCTTGAACTTGGATGACTCCTGCAGGCCATCTTGCCCCTCCCCCATCCCCCCACAAGAATGCATCATGAAGGGTCAGGAGACGCTCTGTCTCTCAAACGTTGCTGACCTCTCCCGAAACTTCTTTGGGATTTTTATAACTTGGTCCTTCTTGCCATCTAACATCTGCCTTCCTAAGCATGTGGCAAGCCCATTTGCTATATGGTTTTACTTCAGCAGGATCTAAACAGGACCAAACTTTTTGCCTTTGGGCTTCCTATCAAACCAAAGAGAAAACTGCAGCAGACAACAGGGATCTGGCCCCTCACCTGCACTCCTCGCCCTCCAGCAGCTTCCTGTAGGTGGCGATCTCCACGTCCAGGGCCAGCTTCAGGCTCATGAGCTCCTGGTACTCGCGCAGCATCCGCGCCAGCTCCTCCTTGGCCTGCTGCAGGGCGGCCTCCAGCTCGTCCAGCTTGGCGCGGGCATCCTTGAGGGCACAGTCCCCCTGCTGCTCTGCATCGGCGATGGCCGTCTCCAGGTTGGCGCACTGCAGGGAAAATGGGTGCAGCACTTTGAGTCAGGGCCCAGTTCTGAGATCCTGCTCAGATGACCTCCCCTCAATCTGGTCCTGGCTGGCAGCAAATGCCTTGAGATCCTCCTGGCTCCTCCAACTGCCGCCATCACTAGAGGCGACTCTGTCCTTTCCCTGACTCCAGGCCCAGTTCACCTGGCTCATGCTTCAGCATCTGAAGGTGGAAAGTCTCCACCTGGGAGGGAGGAGGGGACAGGCGCTAAGAAGGTAGGCTGCCTGGGCACGTGGCCCCTGCCCTCTCCCTCCTGGTCTGCAAGGCCAGCTGTAGGATTCTAATGCCAACCCTGCAAAACGTTTCTGGGATGCTAGACTCAATTCAGCTCTGCAAGGCACAGGTTGTCTTAAGAGATCCTGTAAATCACAAAAAAAGAATGTGGGACAACAAAGTTCTAATTAATAAAATGTCCAATAAACCTGCCACACTTAGGCCCTAAGTGTGGCCCCACAGAGAATCATGCTAAAAGGCAACAGGCATAAGAGATACTTTCCCATGGCTAACAGGTTTTACCAGCCACAAGCACATGCTGTTAGGGAAACATGTGCGCTGCTGTGGGGCCGTGTGCCTGCACGCACGTGAAAGCTCCCAGGGGTTTCTAGAGCCTTTTAGTCCAGGGTGTGTTCTGGCCACGCAGCTGAGGTTTTGGTGGGACCTCAGCACCAGGCTTCTCTTTCTGGGGTGTCCCTTTCTGTGGAGTTAAGTTTGCTTTGCATCAAGGAAAGCAGCTGACTGTGAAGCCAGATGGCATGCTAGGGTGCTGTCCGTCTGGAACGACCCTCCTCTGCCAGGCCGCCCCCAGCACCGCCCACACCCATGGAGTCTGGCGTAAGTGGCTCACATCCCCAAGATATGCCTAGGACCTCAAGGAGACACTAGAACCCAGTTTTCTGGCCACAGAAAACCATGTCTTGGGGACTTTTAGGTGTAATCATTCAGGGGAGTGACAATAAACTCTGTCACCTAAATTCAGTGGAACTGTCTTCTGTTCTTTTTCACTGACCAAGATCCCCCAGGGTGATCCTGAGGGCACCAGAAGCTTGGGTCTTTGGAATGGGCATGATTTGAGAGGACATGAAATCCTTTGAATCACACAGACTCTGAGGACACCAAATGCCAGGAGACTCTGCGTGTGCAACTGTGGGTGCCTGCTTTGGTGGAAGAGACCAGAGGGCAGCAAAGCACCTCGGCTGAGGGCCCAACAGGAGCCTGAGGGCCCTCCTGAGCCCTCCTGAGGGCCCAACAGGAGCCGCGATGGGACCGAGCGTCACAAGGACTCACCTTCCCTACAGAGGACATCTTCCCTGCCCACTGAAGCGCCAGCATCCTGATCACAAAAAGTCACTTTCTGTTAATAACCCCACCGCCTGACCATAAACACTTGGCATTTTATTAGCTAAAAGCTGAAATCGAATGCTGAGGGCGCTTCAAACACTATGTGTTTTCTTGCATGTATGCAGATCTTGATTTAACAAAAATACCTTAAGTTCTTATTTAATGCTGGTCTTTTTTCTTCCCACAGCCATGAGCCCACTGCACAGAGGAGGGGTGTGTGTGTGCATGTGTGTGCATGCACTTGCAGGGTGTACAGGGGTGTAGGAGAGGATGAGGAGATGGGAACCTTGACCTGCCTGGAAGTGACAGCCTTAAGTCCTTGCACTGCCTCTACAAACTTGGAAAACTTATGCATTGGCTTGCTTCAGAACCACAGGTGTAGTCGCATAGGTGTGACATTCCAGAGAGAGGGACCTCGGTGCAGTGCCCTTCCCATAGCACAGCCCCAGGGAAGGCCTGGCATGAGTGCAGGGTGGAGTCTAGGTTGGGAGGCTGGTCCTACCCCACTCTGTACTAAAATCCACTGCTGGATTCTCTCTCTTCCAATAAGGAATCACCATGTGAAACCTGCCAATGACTCCCTTTATCTTCTGCCTCAGATCTAAACCCCACTGCCCGGCCACCATAATCCACTGATTCTTACCCAGTGGCATCCTCTGCTCCCTGCCACCCTACCCCATGGCAGGCCTTCTACTCCAGGGAGGTAACCCTCCCATCTCCTGCACACGTGCAGTGCACATCCCTACTTTTACGCATTGCTTCTGCGGGCTGCACCTGGACACCTCCCCTCTCCTTGCCAGCTCCCAGCCCAGTGAATCCACCCCCTGGGAAAGCTTCCCTGGGTCCTCACACACCTGTCCCCATTCCGGACTCCTACTGAGCGTTCTGCAGTGTGCAGACTGCTTCACCCTCCACATGTGCTCACACTGTTCTCTCCTGATGAACTATAAACACCCTATGCAGGGGACTGTGTCCTGCCCTCTTTCCATATTTGGTCTTGTCCAGACTGGTGCTCAGGAGGCCCTTGTTAGCTGATTCATCCCATGGGACCCACCTGCTTCTTCACACTCCCTATCTCCGAGCGGATCCTTTGGATCAGCCGGTTGAGTTCGGAGATCTCAGCCTTGGTGAGCTTAAGGTCATCCCCATGCCGGCCTGCTGTGACCTGCAGTTCCTGGATCTGAGGATGGGTGACAAGAGAAGAGGAGCACAGGACAGTTGAGAATTCACCTGCTTAAGGGTACTTAGAACAGACAGGTGACCACATGCCATTCTCCATGTTCACACAGTGCAGGCACCAGCAAAGGAGGAAGAGGGGCTGTGATCACTGGGCCTCAGCACACCTGGCCCCAGCCCACCTTGGTCTGGTACAGCGCCTCGGCCTCGGCCTTGCTTTTCAAGGCGATGTCCTCATACTGGGCGCGGACCTCAGCGATGATGCTGTCCAGGTCCAGGTCCCGGTTATTGTCCATGGACAGGATGACAGATGTGTCACTGATGTGGGACTGGATCTGAGTGATCTCCTGGGGGAAAGTTGGAGGAGAGGAGCCAGTTAGGGGGTCCCATGAGGAACTGCTTCTCCTGATCCTCCCTGGGAAAATTTCTCACTGCCCCTTTCTGTCCTTCCCTGGCATTTGAACTCTGCTTTAGCATCAGTGCCTGCCAGGCATCTGAATGAGCACCTTGTGCTCCCAACCTTGAATAGTGAGACCCTCTTGTCCATCAGGACTCAGGACAGCTCCTATCCCTTCTATTAAATGCATTCTGGTCCCCCAAACCAGCAATGGCCACCCTGCCCCACAGCATCAAGTCTGAACTCCCTACATGGCACACTGAGCCTCTATAGTGTCACCAGCCACCTCCCCCTCCTCTGTGGAAGGCCTCTGTCCCCTTCCATGTGCCCAGTGCTTTAGCACAGTACAAGCTCCTGGATCTTCACTTTTCTGCCCTTCTCAGCACCCCTGAAATCTTTTTCCTCCTCCTCCCCCCTCTCTTTTTCCAGAAACCTTTCCTGATGGCCCTGGCAGAATTCACCATTCCTCCTCTGCTCTCCCAAAGCTCAGCTCTATGGTGCTCTTCCTGCCAGGCTGTGAAGACAGGAATCATTTCTTCTCCTTCGTGGTCTCCTCAAAGCCTAGCTCACTTTGCAGCACCCAGCAGGGCCTCCATGAATGTCAGCTGCACTGGGCCGAAAAGCTTCTCCCTCCCAACCCTTGGGCCACACATCCATCCAGGCCAAGGGCCAAAGCCACTCGCAAGAGGAGCAGACCTCGCAAGAGAAGTGAGCGAAGCCCTTACCCCTTCATAGAGGCACTTGAAGAATTTAATCTCGTCTGTCAAGGAGTCCACCTTGGCCTGGAGCTCAATCTTGTTCATGTAGGCGGCGTCCACATCCTGGGAACACATGACGGTCAGGCTGCCCCGAGAGGAGCCAGCTGCCTTCCCTTCACTGCCCTTCCTGCCACAGGGAGCCCCAGTTCCCCAGCTCTCTGCAGTCTCCTCACCCCACACATGCTTCATGGGGGCTCCGTCCCTGAGAGCAAACCAACTGATGTGCCATGCAAGGGCCACACCAGAAGTGCCTGGATTTTAAGCTGGCAGATTCTGGGAGCAGCGTGCATCCCTCACAAGGAGGAGCTGGGAAGTTAGAACCCCCGTCGCTCCTGCCCAAGGGATGAGCAGTCCACAGGGTCCCTTTCCTCAGCCTACAAACATCACTGTGCCAGGCAGTCAGGAGCCCTCTAGGCTTCTTCCAGCTCTCCTGCGCCCCTCTCACCTTCTTGAGCACCACGAACTCATTCTCAGCCGCTGTGCGCCTGTTAATCTCCACATCGTACCTGCATAGGGCAAGACATTGGGGTAATTCAGTTCTGTAAACACTCACTGAGCAGTTAGTGATCACCTCTGTGTCAAGAGCTGCAGGGTGGGGGTCTTCAAACTGAAATGCATGTACCCCTGGGGCACATATAACCTTCCTAAAGGAAATGGGGGCAAGGACAGATTTAAAGAAATCTATTTCCAGCTCCTTAGTTCCTGTGCAATCTGTCCTAAAATGTATCTGCCTCAGAAAGCACCTGTGGTCAAACGTCATGCAGATTCTACTGCCCACCTCCTTGTCACAGCCCCTCCCATGTCATAGCAGAAAGGCATCCTCCTCTGCCATGTGGCATCTTAATATGGTGCAATGGTTCAGGGTGCAAAAACCTCCCAGGTACCAAACAAAGAGGGACCTCGGTGCAGTGCCCTTCCCATAGCACAGCCCCGGGGAAGGCCTGGCATGAGTGCAGGGTGGAGTCAAGGTTGGGAGGCTGGTCCTACCCCACTCTGTACTAAAATCCACTGCTGGATTCTCTCTCTTCCAATAAGGAATCACCATGTGAAACCTGCCAATGCAGGATATAGTGTAGACTGGGGAGGTGAGAGTATTGATCCTTTATTTAAAGAGCTCCCCTCTTCTATCCCTTACTACTGTCAAAGAATGTATCACAAAACATTTGTGAGAGCAAACAAAGTAGCACATTGGTAAGAAATAGTTAATGCTAAATGGATAACCAAAACGTGTAAATATTACTACACACGGAATATTATTCAGACTTAAAAAGAAAGGAAATTCTGCAGTGTGATACAATATGGATGAACCTTGAGGACATTATGCTAAGTGAAGTAAGCCAGTCACAAAAACACAAATGTTGTGTGATTCCACTTACACAAAGGTACTCAGAGTAGTCAACTTCATAGAGACGAAGAGTAAGAATGCTGGTCGTGGGGGGAGGGGGAGGCAGAGTTAGTGTTTAACCCGGTGTAGAGTTTCAACGTCCCACAGATGAAAGAGCTATGGAGATAGATAGCGTGATGGTTTTGTACAATATTATTAAATTGTT